CTTTCACATGTCGAGGAACTGAAGATCCTACAAAACATGATTTGGTCGTTGAACCATCTTAATGGCTCCCCGGTGTCGATGAGTGGGATGGGGACCCCCTGCCAACAGCGGCTTTTGGGGGGTCTCCTGGAGCAGGCGGTTTCAGCCAGCAGTTGGAAAGAAAAGGCAGAGATCCTGGACTGGGGTGAATTTTTCAGGGTCAAAGGTGTGGATTATCAAGGGGAGGAGGTCAAGGTTGCCCGTTCGGTATCCTGGGATATGTTGGCCCCTGCGTTGCCTTCAGAAGTGGGGACGGTTTCCCTTGCTGATGTTTGTGATGCGGGGTGCAAGCATTATGTTGAGAACTTCGAGAACTATCTCCTTCCTGTTGAGGACCAGGTGTTCACAAAGGGGCCAAAGGTCATGGTGCCTCCCGGTGATTGGGAGGCAGTTGCATCAAACCTTATTCAACGGGGTATCTGCAAGGTTATCGAGGAGTCCGAGGTTTACCACGTTCAGGACAAGCCACTGTTGAATGGACTCTTCGGGGTATCCAAAGGTGATTGGCATGGTGACATTGAGGTCCATAGACTGATTATGAATTTGATACCCTTGAACCGTATTTGTCGAGGCAGCGAAGGCGACATTGCCACCCTTCCTTCGTGGAGTTCCATGGGACCGTTGTCACTGGATATTGACGAAGATCTTCTCATTTCAAGCGAAGATGTTCGATGTTTTTTCTATATTTTTAAAGTGCCCTTTTCATGGCATAGGTTCATGGCTTTCAATCGCCCTCTACCTAGTTCCCTTTGCCAAGGAAGGTCAGGAACATGTTATTTGGCAGCAACTGTTCTCCCGATGGGCTTCAAGAACTCCGTGAGCATTGCCCAACATGTACACCGGTTTGTTTTGCGGCAAGGTTTGATGAACTCAGGTTGCCTAGGACGAGGGGATCAGGAGTTGAGAAGAGACAGGCCCTTTCCTACTGGCAGCAACATGTTTCGTATTTATTTGGACAATTTCGATGAGCTCACGAAAGTCAACAAAAGCCTGGCCGCCACTTTGAAAGGGGAACTGACTCCTACGGTGCTTGCCCTTCAGGAAGAATATGCGAGGTGGAACATCCCAAGGCACCCAAAAAAGGCTGTGGCCCTTCAACCCGTAGCTGAAGTACAGGGAGCGGTAGTCGACGGTGAACGAGGAGTTGCCTACCCGAAGGTCGACAAGATTTTGAAGTACGTGGTTTTGGGTTTGAAATTGGCAGGTTCCACCTACAGCACACAACGGCAAGCTCAGATTGTGGGAGGGGGTTTTGTTTATATGACCATGTTTCGTAGGCCCCTCCTCTCGGCTTTGAACCATATCTGGGCGTTTATAAAGGCCTTTGAAGGTCTAAGGGAAGGAGCTGCTCTACGTACACCCGAGCTGGTCAAGATGGAGCTCCTAAGATTCGTCGGTTTGGTTCCCCTTGCTCATTTTGATTTCCGTACAGAAGTCCAGGGGATGGTGACCGCGAGTGACGCTTCTTGTACGGGGGGAGGCGTAACCCGTAGCAAGGGCTTAAGCCCATGGGGAATCATTGCCTCCCAGATGCCACAACGAGGAGACCTTCCAGAGCCCTTTGATGTTTGCGGGGTGGTTACAATTGGACTGTTCGATGGCATTGGTGCCTTAAGAGTGGCTGCAGAGGCATCACAGCTGCCGCTGCTGGGGCACATCGCGGTGGAGAAGAACCAGGAGGCCCGGCGGGTTACGGAGGCAAGGTATCCCGCCTCCCTAGTATGGGAGGACGTCAGCACGGTGGACGCTGAGGTGGTCAAGGGTTGGTCCACGCATTTTTCACAAGCAAGTTTAATTGTCATTGGAGCAGGACCGCCTTGCCAAGGTGTTAGCGGACTCAACGCGGACCGGAAGGGGGCACTTAAGGACAAACGATCTTGCTTGTTTACTCATGTGCCCAGGATTGTGGAACTGGTGAAACAGGCTTTCCCTTGGTGCCAAGTAAGACTACTCATGGAATCTGTAGCCTCGATGGATGATGCAGATCGACTGCTTATGTCAGCTTCTGTGGATCTAGAGCCTATCAAGATTGATGCTGCTGGGGTATCGGTGGCACATCGCCCTCGTCTTTATTGGTTTGATTGGGAGGTCCCCAACATGATGGGCGTCCGCAAAGTTTTCAAAGAAGTTCTTGAGATTGAGCTTACAGCCGAAGTGGACCCGTGTACTTACATGGAGCAGGGATGGTCTATGAAGGAGGCAGGAAAACTTCCTACGTTTACAACTTCCCGTCCACGCAGTTTCCCTGGGCATAGGCCGGCGGGTCTAAATAAATGCTCTTTTGAGGAACGTCAGAGATGGGAAAATGACATGTACCGCTTTCCACCGTATCAGTACCGTGACTGTTACTGTTTGACCAACAGGGTCGGTGAGTTTCGTTTGCCCAACGTGAGAGAGAGGGAAGCCATGATGGGGTTCCCTGTCAATTACACTGAGAGTTGCCTCCCGAAGAGTGGGTCTACTGCAGAACAGAAGAACGACGCGCGGCTCACGCTTATTGGCAACTCCTGGAATGTCACTGTCATCACCTTCCTTTTGAGCTGCTTGGGATCTATTTTGGGCTTGTGTCCACAACTTACCCCCTCAGAGGCGGTTGAGGCTACTAAGCCAGGAACTGGAAAGAACTTTATGAACTTCCTGCAACGGCCCCCTTTGACTTTTTCCCGCAAAAGAGGGTCTGATGAGAAGGAGCTCATGCTGGCCAAGAAGTTCATGAATCATGTCAGTTTGAAGGGGGAGGACATTTTGGTTCACTCGTCTGCGGAGGAACAATTAAAGTTTCACAGGTTACGAGCCAGTATCCCTTCGCAGTGTTGGAGATGGCAGACGGTCGCGAGTTGGGGTTGGAAGGGAGACCCCGAACATATCAATTGCATGGAACTCCGGGCCATTTTAACAAGTATCCGATGGTGGATTGAGAAACGCAAAGTGAATCGGGCTAAGTTCATTCACTTGACGGATAGTTTAGTATGCATGCATTGCCTCGCTAGAGGAAGAACTAGTAGTCGCAAACTTCGCAGAACTTTGACCCGTATTAATTGTCTTCTTTTGGCCTCCCGCAGTTTCCCAGTGTGGGCTTATGTCCACACATCCCAGAATCCGGCCGACCGACCGAGTCGGCGTTGTGTCCGGAAGAAATGGGTAAAGTAAATCCCAAATGTGTTGAGGGGAGAACCAAAGAAGACAGGGTCAGAATTCGAAAGCGACTTGGAAGTTTGAAACAAATCACTGTACAGCCTGCCACTCGAGTCAGGTATGACAAAGCTTTGAAAAGCTTCTTTTCTTTTCTCAAGTTTAATAGTCAAGAACTGCCCACCGAACAATCCTTACTGGATGGGATGGTGGGTGAATATCTGGAGCACTTGTGGGCCACTGGTGAAGGCCGTGCCTTGGGTTCCGACACTCTGGCAGCCATTCAGGATGCACAGCCTCAAGTGCGAGGCAAGCTCCAGCGAAGCTGGAGGCTCATGAAGACTTGGGTTGCCAATGAGATGCCCAACCGTGCTCCTCCGCTTTCTGAAGATATACTTCATGCGCTCGTGGGTTTAGCGCTTTTCAGAAAGGATCCACTTTTCGCTTTATCCCTCCTGCTGGGATTTTACTCGATGCTGCGCACTGGCGAGATTTTGGGTATTATGAAATCCCATGTTTCCCCGGGAGCAGGATATGCCCCCGCTGTCATTTCTCTAGGGCTCACCAAAGCCGGAAAGCGGCAAGGAGCCGCTGAAAGCGTGACAGTTGCTGTTGCAGACGTAGTTAGGAGACTTACGCAATGGAAAGAATCCTCAGTAAGTCCTGTCAAGTTGTGTCCCCCACCCCATATGTGGCGTAAGAAGTTCGCGCAGTATCTTAAAGACCTGCACCTGGACGCCTTTGAATTCCGTCCATACAGCTTGCGCAGGGGTGGGGCCACGTTTTGGTTCAGAAAACATGGATCTTTGGATAAGATTCTTGTTCAGGGTAGATGGCAGGCACAAAAGACTGCCCGCATCTACATAAATGAAGGTTTGGCCGTCCAGGCCGAGTTGAGAACACCTCGCCATCCGGATGTGGCAGTGTTCAAGGCCCAGTATTTGAAGGCGGTCAAAGCACCATTACCGAAATTTGAGCATGCCAAAGGCAGGACTGGGGGACGTGGAAAGAAGGTAAAACAGCGGGGTCGAGAGGTAATCCGACCCTTTTTAAAAACCGACTGCGGGAAGACAGCGGTTTGAGTTTTAAGGAGTCGAGGGGTAATCCGACTCGAAAGACTTAACCCCCCTTTTAGTTTCTGGGCTTGGCCAGGCAAAGAGGGGTGGTCTTTAATCAAGACTGGGGCTGGGGCTTACCTGGGCTTGGCCAGGAAGACCCCGGGGTCTTGCAAACCCACTGGGGAGGGGGTTCTGAATTTCAGTATCAGTTTCAAGTTACAAGTTTTCAGACAAATCTGGTCTTGCAGCGCGGAAAAAAGGCAAGCCAGAATGAATCTTTGATGTAACGACCCGGGATTTAAAGATGAAGTCGGTTTGCGTTTCCGCTAGATTTCGGCTTGATGGCCACACCCTCCCGCCCAGTGAGGTAAAACAGCGGGGTCGAGGGGTAATCCGACCCTTTTTAAAAACCGATTGCGGGAAGACAGCGGTTTGAGTTTTAAGGAGTCGAGGGGTAATCCGACTCGAAAGACTTAACCCCCCTTTTAGTTTCTGGGCTTGGCCAGGCAAAGAGGGGTGGTCTTTAATCAAGACTGGGGCTGGGGCTTACCTGGGCTTGGCCAGGAAGACCCCGGGGTCTTGCAAACCCACTGGGGAGGGGGTTCTGAATTTCAGTATCAGTTTCAAGTTACAAGTTTTCAGACAAATCTGGTCTTGCAGCGCGGAAAAAAGGCAAGCCAGAATGAATCTATATATATATATATTATGTGTGTAGCTTCATGTTTTCCTGCCCCTAGTGCCCAGATTTCCCACAGCATCGCTGCAACTCAGGCAGGGGCTTTGTTGGCCACCTGCGGTCGCTCTGAAGCCTGGGCGCTCAGATGGCGAAACGGTGGCCAAACACGGGAATTCTCCCAAAAAGGGTGTGTCTCTTTTGGTAGCGCACTCGTTTTGGGGGGTTGTTTTTCAAGGAAGCCAAAAGGAAATCACCTGTTGTAGGGCCCCTTTGAGAAATGGTTTTATTGATATAGTGGGATAGACCCCCAGAAATTGCTAGTTTCATGTTTGCTCCCCTTCAAACGACAAATTTTGGAAATGCCTGGCTTCCTTTTTGTTCCCCCACCATTCAAAAGGGCGCCCATGTTTCATGTGTTTTTTCCGCCAGAAACAGCTTTTCTGGCGATTTAGTGGAAAATGCATGAAGTGATCATGGTGGCACCCGGCACCAGTCTTATTTCAGAAAGGCAAGTTCTCTCGGGGAGTTAGACTCCCTGCATGTCGATCACTGCAATTTCTTTGGGTGCTTCCCGAAATAGGGGCCGCCCAAACATGGCAGGCTTCCTTGGGAGTTCCCTTTAATCTAAGCACCATCCAAAGGGAGGGCCCGTATTTTTCACAGGCCAATTTGGTGGGGCTGGATTCTGATTCCAACCGGCATGATGAATTCTGCTTCCTGAGATATGGCTCTGATTTTTCTTTGGGAGCCTGTCAGGAATGGTTGGTGGACATAAATCGCTGTGTAAAGCCACAGGGTCCATTAAAATAACATGTTTATGTATGCAGAAAGGTTTTGGTTAAAGTCGCCCCGCGTTTGGCAATGCGCCAAAACCCGGAGAAACGATAGGGCCCCAAACACCGATACCCTCGCCGGGGAAAGAATGGTATCCGAACGATGCCCCGAACGCTGCCCGGAACGATACTCAGTAAAGGTGAGCCGAGCCCATCCGCGCCGAGCCTATTGTTCTGCCGGCTGCAAGCTTAACGAAGCCAATGAACGTATCACCCCAAGGTGTTCCGTTGTTTTTTTTTGGGTGGGGTGGGTGGGGGTTTGGTAGGGTCCCATCACTCTGAGGTGATCACAGGGGATCGAGCTGCTGCACTGGCGGCTCTGAGCTAAGCAGATCCTTCCCTCATGGTTATGTATCTGAGTGTTCGCCTTTGGCTGTGTTCTTTTTGGAGGATAATTACTCTTTTGAAGTGGTTCTAAAAAGAAGCCACAAGGAAACGTCCCTATTTTAAGACACCATGGCACATTTGACTATGTGTGTAAGCGGTTCATGAGCACAGTTCAGCCTCTCAGCAGGCTGGCAACGCAGAAGACGCTGCTGCGGCGATCATGAGAGTCTTTGGCCAGATGCCTGTAGAGCAGCTGCCTCAGATGGCTTTGTCTCAAAATGAGGGAACCCCCCAACCCCGCTCCGCCCCGAAAAATAGATCGATGGTTTCTGTTTGGCTTCAAAACCATCGAAAAGGTTACCCTCCAAAAAAGAGACGCGCATGTGCCTTTGTCAAAACCCTTTGGTAGGTAATAGTCATGGACCCTTTCGGGATAGACTGGAAGGGTGGGAGCCATGACGAGGTTTGACCACGGCACTGGCAAATCAAAGCCGTGAGCGTGCAGAGCTAGGCTCAACCCCCTGAAAAGCGATCTGTTTTGTTGCCATGGGTGTCTTTTTTTGAGGGTGCCCTTGTCTAATGGTTTTAAAGGGACACCAAAAGGAAACCACCAGTTGTTTGGGTCCGCTAAAAAAGACAAATCCATGTTGCCATATTTGCGTCAAACCATCATCGCCCCAGGAGTTCACCTCACACACTTTGATTGGGTTGGCGAACCGGGGTAATGTACCACGCTCGTTGCAGTGAGGTCGGCAGACGGCGACGAATTGGAGGCAGTGAGTCTGTGCTTGAAGTACCGCGGACCCAAGGAAATCTGAAAAGCAGCTCTGGTCGTACCAGTTTGGGTTTCCACGCATTTGTTGCCTCAGTTGTCAGGATGCATTGACGGATGCCAGTGACATTGTTTGCACTGTTCGGCATCCGAAGGGTCGCGTATCATTGATGTGCGTGACAGATGCTCAGTTCTGATGCGACTGACGACTCCAGATATGAGTTGTATTTACCCACGTGAACATAGGAAGGTATACTGCCCTTTTACTGTAAGTGACGTATAACCTGCACACTCCTAACTACCCTGAATTTGCCCTTGAAAGGACTTGGTCGGCCCACTCCCAGGTGCAACCGTTTCCCATGCCTCAGGAGGAAGAACTTCATTTTGCTTGCCGTGGCGGATGGGATTTCAGGTATTTCAACGGAAAAGCAATGTGATCCACGAGCCACATGTCAGTTGTCAGTCAACCGCTGAAGGAGTCTATATAAGGGGAAAAGGGTTTCACCCAATTACCAGGAGCAACTCTTGTCCTCGTGTTGCAGGAGACCATAGGAAATGGGCAACGCTATGGAGAATGCACCATACATCTTGGCTGTTTGGTTGGATCTTTGGACTGGACAACTTTTTGTGAAGTGGGATTTTCCGTATTGGACCCACAAGTTATTTTCACTTTTAGAGGGGTCATCCCAACTGCAGTGGATCAATCAAAGCAGTTTGGTTGGTTTACCAGGGGTCGGATGCAGCAACCAAGACATGGGGCCGTTTTTCCAGGGCCCCGAGTCCGGAGTCCGCGCCAGGCGCTGCTCCGCGAGGCCGCGGAGAGCGCCCAGCGCCAGCAGTGGGCCTTGCGCCGCGAGGCAAAGGAAACGGGTCGCCGGGGAGGCCGTGCGTGTGGTGAGAAACAATGAGCTTGGGGATCCATGAAACTTGGATCCATGGGGTTGGGGAGGTTGAGGATCCAAGGTGGGATCCTTCTGAAAATTGTTTGCGCTGGTCTAATGGTTGGACACGGTTGAATTTTTGAACCCCTGGGTTGATTTTCAGAGGGGCGCAAGCCATGTCAGAGGGAAGCGGACTTTGGGGGAGTTGCACTGCATAATTCACCAGCTTGATTAATCGGGCTTATAGCAAGGGGCTCCACATCCTTTTTGTGTATGCAGTTTCCATGGTTGCCCTTGGGTAAATGGCCCGGCCGATGGAAAACCAGGGGACCACAGGATCTTGGTTTCCTTTTCAAGGGAACCCAGAGGAGGCTGTTTCTTGTTCAGTTCAATGGCTACAAGTTTAAGCAAGCTGGCCCAACCCTGCGGACGTCCGGCCTTTTTTTTTCATTGGCCCGGTGGCCCTTTTTTGTGGTTAGGGGCGTGTAACGGTTGTTACAACGGGGTCGAGTCGAAAGGGGCAAAGCAAGCTTTTGGGTTTTGGGCTCCCCAAACCGCGTGCAGGCCATGATCTCTCGCTGGACCCGACCTGCACCTGAGGCGGGATGAAACCAGCAGCCTTGATTCGAGCTCACGGACAGACCAAAGGTTCTATTTGATTGGTTTCCGGGTGAGTGTTCTAGTTTGGGTTTTTGCAGCCGTTCCCTTAGGTGAAAGGTCAACGCAAAGGAGGGCCTGCAAACCACTGGCCTAAAGACAGAAATGGTGGTTGCCTGGCCCGGGCCAACGAATGTTTGGGACTCAAAGGATAGGTATCATCTCGGGCTGTGTTTTTATTTGGGCAATGTACCCTTTTCAGATTGGTTTTCACGAAATGCAAAAGGAAAAGGCAATTTTTGGGGTTCCCACATAATATATGGACACCATATGCTGCATTACATAGACTGCTACATCCGCCTCATAGTCCAGCTGCCGCAGTCCGGCCAGGAGCGGGTGCGTGCGCTGCTGCAGTGGAGCGAAACCAGAGCTCCTGTCATGTTTAATTAAGTTGAAAGAGCCCATGAAGGGAAATTCTAGTCATAGATTACTGTACCCAGGGATAATTAATTAAATTGTATGTGTTTGCCTTGAACTCAGGTCGGTGTTTTTTGAACCTTTTTGTTGGTTCTTGAAGGGAGGCCAAAAGGAAGCTGCTTTCAGGGGTTTGTTTCTTAATTTTGAGACAATCCCAAAGCAGTGAAACCACCACATCCAACGTCCAAGCCCTGGTCAATTGCAGTGTTCCTATTGCCAGTCGCTTACATGTTTGACGTTTGACTTGCTGTCTTTTGAGTTGTTCCTTCATGTTCCTTACATAGGGAGTTTTCCTCCGGCCCAGTTCTGTGCCACTTGTTCCCCCTTGTTCCGTACCACTTTCAGGGGTCCCATTGAGCCCTGTGCCACAGGATATTCACCATACGTCATAACCATAGTGGGGTAGGAGGGGTAGCTCCGTTTTGGACATGGTTCTAACCCACTTACTAAGTAGGTTCAAAGCATCCACGTGGGTATGAGGGTATGATTGTTAATGTGGGATCCTTTGGTGGACATCATTTGAAGCATGCTTGGATCTACGCAAGCACCAGCCATTTCTGAGGGTATTCCAAGCATTGAGATAATTGGATGTTCAAGCTTGACCCTTCCAGCTACCACTCGCAAGGATAATCCCTCATAAACCATGTCCCAGTTTTCAGGTATTCCAGCCGTGTTTCACACCCAATATGGGTTATTTTTATTTGTTTGTCATATACATTTGTTGTTTGTTTGTTTTTTTGTGTGGGGTGGCACGGTGGGGTGTTTTCCTGGGGCCAATTTCCCACACCCAAAAAAGTGTTGCTTGGTCTTTGGTTCCATTGGGCTCCCGAGTCGCCAGGCCGCGGACAGCACTTGTTGGCACTGGCGGAGGTGCGGCGGGAAGCGCCCGGAGCTGAGGACGACGCGATTTCGGGCGCCGAAACTTGGGGCGCGGATTTCGGGGGAAACTCGGGGAAAGTGTCATGGTTTCCTTTTGGTTTCCCCGCAAGACTCCAAAATGGTACGAAGAATGTTAACACCTGGCCACTGGCCTACCATTAAAGTCACCCCTAAAGTGATGGGTGAAAGGATAACAACTCCAATTTCTGACTTTGATAACCACCATGAAACAGTCAAAATTATGAGCCCAGACCCATTGGAGAACCACTGGGCACCCATTTTGGTGGGCCCACCCCCATTTTGAGACAGACCCATATGGGTTTGAATATTCATGGGTCCCGGACCCTTTGGTGGATATCATTTGGGTTGGGCTTCATGCCCACCACTTTTGAGGCGGTTCCCTGCTAGAATTCGTTTCCAAACAGGGATTTGCACCGGGACTGTCAAATGATTGGAGCCATTTGCCACGAGAAACCATGGGACTTGCATAAATCAAATGGATGTGGTGCACTCCCATCGCAGTCCCTCTGAGTTCGTCGGGGCATGGGAACCACTCGGATTTTTGGGAGGTGTTCCCCCCAAAAGTGAAATTTGGATCCTCTAAATGGGACACCCCGCGATCAAAATCAACGGCTTTATTAATCCTGGTCCAAATTACGGGGACCCCAAAATGATGGGTGTTCCTTTTGATCTGCCTTTAAACCGACCGTAAACTGGGTACGCTCAAACATGTTGACGGGTTTTGGGAATCACGGCAAGCCCGCCGATAGCCCAGGCGACAACTTGAAATCCACTCCGGCCACTCTGAAGAGAGGTTCGAATCTTGCACAAATCAGCCCTAAACCGCCCCCAAGCCCGATCAATGTTTACACTTTCAAACTGCGTCATCACTTGCATCAGAGTCCATTTACCTTACGCAACCTCAGCATTGGGAGCGGAGGACTGCTGGAAACGCCTGTGCCCAGGTTTGCATCATCCCGGAGCTGGTTCTATTGGTTTGCTTCTCAGTGATCTGAGTACATTCGCAGCGGCAAAGTTTCACACCAGGACTCCCTGAAACTTCCGATGCTTGATTGGATGCGGAGCATCAGAAAACAAGGACAAGTTCTGTGCTTGATGTGATTCAGAGATGATTTCGGAGCCCGGCCTCCAGACAGATTCGAGAAGAAATCTTCCAAGGCTCGAACCATTCCGGGGCCTTGGGCCATTGGGTTTTCTCGAGGCTCCTACCTGCAGGAACGTATTCAATGTCGTCAGAGTGGTGGCCGCTCTTGCGCCATTAGCTGGGAAATCGATGGATTTCAGCGGAGCAGCTTGGCGGGACTCAATGCGACCAATGCAGAAAGTTGGTGACATCGGCTTCTCCGAAAAAGACGGGCCCAAATTTCTAGCCTACTGTCTACAGGGTCGAATGATGTCGAAGGGGGACTGGAGGAGTTTGATTTTCAGACTGCGCAACCACGTGGCAGGCTGCACCTCGCAGGGCATTCTGCCCTTGTGGCCGGGATTCTCAGCTCATTTCGGGGCGAGTTTTTTTCGGGTGCAGCTCAAAGCCTCATCATAGAACCCCCTATGCTATGGTCACCCTATGGTCATCTAAATTCCCCTTGACCATCCCCAGCCGGTTGATATTTGCTGAGAATCAGTAGCACTTGAATTAATTCAAGGGGCCTGGAAATGGGTTTGGTTTGCACTTTGAGTTGTAACCCGCAACCCCAATGCCCGAGGTGCCCCTGTGCTGGGTAAAACGTTCCATGTGAGATCCATTCAAAGCTCCCAGGGAGAAGGCTGAGGTTGGGGATCATGTTGAGCTGCATAGGATATGGAACTCCAGAAATCTGCGGCTTTCCTTTGAACTTCTTTTAAGCCAACCCAAGGTACCCACTCCGAAAAGGAAACCCCCCTTAGGCCTTAAACTGGGATCTGTGTTGAACATATTATACATATGGGTATGGGTCAAAATTAAACCACCAGGGGACCGCAGGTTTTAGTCCTTGTTTCCATTTACCAGGGTTCCAATTTGGGTACATATTTTTTGACCCACACCCATATGTGTGTCGTTTGCAAACTATGGACCAGAAGACATCTGATTTGGGGTTGGGGCCAAAGCTGAGCTAAGGTCCCAGTGGATCCCAGACAAACTCCATTTCATGTGTCAAAATAGGGGTCCCTCACCACCCCACAATGCTTGGTGTCCTTTGGGTTTCCCCTTTGAAACAGCCTGAAACGGATAGCCTCGCAAAAAAACACAACAACATGTGGTTTTCAAAGGTGTCCTTTCTTTACCTGCCAAACGGTGTTTTTTTTTTGGAATCAGCGGGTGAGACATTCCGTCAGTGGCCGCGAGCGCGCCTCGTGAGGCAATGGTGACTCTGCCCTTCTTCTCCCGCATGGACCTGGTCCGATGGGCGTCCATGTGTACGCTTGGAGACCACTCCTCAGATCTATTTTTCTGTGCTCACCAGGCTTGGTTGCAAAGTCAGTTACCAGACCTGATTCAGCCCTGCAAAGGGGATTGCTTGAACAACGGGTGTTAAGACAGGTTTGAACAAACGGGATCGGCCTATTCCCGGTACTCACCCCTGCGCTTGTTGCGCATGCATGGTGGCATCATAATTTTGTTCCTTTCTTTGGAGTTGGTACCAAGCAGTTGGAGGGGTATCCAATCGTAAGACATACCCATATTGCCCTGCATCCAAGAGCCCGCAGCTGTTTCGTTGATCGTTTTGCAGATGGATGCAGGTCGACATGAAAACATGTTGGCCAGTGCTCACAGAAGAATGTCCTCTTGATCTGTTGGTTGCCAAACTCAAAAGCTGCAGTCAGTCTTTCAGTGGTGTGGATCAGACCAAATTGGATTCGCTCTATGTATAGACAAAGCAATGCTCTACGGGTACTTTGGCGGAGTCTGGAGGCTGGAGTGCTTGCATTGCAACTGCTTCGTCAGCTCAACCCCCGCTTTATTGCCTTGCAGTGCCCGAGCAATTGCTTCTTGTGTCCTCATGCGGGTGTTTGTTTTGCTTGAGTTGATACCCTTGCTGGGTTGTTTTTAAAAGCGAGACCGTGTGGGAAGCGAAACCCACGTTGGGAGGTACCCCATGAGACTAGCCCAACTAGCTGTCGGAAATGGTTTGGACAACTATTGGTTTGTCCTTAAGTGCCCCAAACATTTCATATGAGGCACCTAAGACAACCATCAGCCCCACATTTTGGCAATGTGGAGAGGCGTTGCGACCGGCGCCAAGGGCTGCAAGCGGGCCGCTTGGCACAGCAATCAAAACCCACACCATTATTATGTCGTTATTTCCAGACACTACCTTGTAGGTAGGTATGTGTCAACACAGGGGAGCCAACACATGGTGGGTTTGTTTGTTGGTTTCCCTTTGAACCAATGTGAAAAATAAAGGTCCTTCAAAAACAAACACACACACACACACACGCACGCACGCACGCACGCACGCACGCACGCACGCACGCACGCACGCACGCACGCACGCACGCACCTACCAAGATCTCACCTCTAAAAACAACAACCATGGTACTGTTTAGGTCATGTCCCCAGGCAACTCCATGTGATGCACAATGCCCAGCCCATCCCACCGAATAATTCGGTCTCATGTTTTTGTTCGAGCCACAAAGTGACGATTATCAGGTACCCCATGGTACCCCTTAATGGGTGGATTTGATTGGTGGCTTGGGGATTTGAACAGCGCCTTTGAAAACCAAATAAATGAGGAAGGTACCGCCTAACGTCCAGACCACCAAACCAAACCACCAATTGGGGGTAAGGTGAAATTTCAATCAAAAGCTGGGTAGATGAAGATTACAGCCACAGGTCTGAATATGTGCCGTTTGTTGTTGTTACCATGGGTTTTGGACTTTGAGTTGCCGGTCGCGAAAGTCGTCAAGTGTTTTGTTTAGTTTCCGCGAAAGGTTTGTGTATAAGTGTATAAAGGTGGTTTGCTAATAGGAAGATATGGACTGCATGATGAGCCACGCGTATTTGCCGGCAGTGCGCGCAGAATGCACAAAGACTAAAGTTGGTCCGAGGAAAGCACAGCCCGAGGATTGCCGCAAGAACACTACAAAAACAACAGCAGAAAGCAGCTTGTTGGAGTTTCGAAGCTTTTGGGCCCAGTTGAGCGCAACTTCGCCGGATGTTCTGTAATGTTTCGCGCCAGGTGCGCGAAAGTTTCCTTCAAGTCGATGAACCTCCCCGCCAGTTTCCGGACGTGGGTGGCCAACGGGTCCCCTGTGCTGCTGCGCTTTCTACTTTGGAACCGAAAAGTTGCGACGTTCGAGCCGGTGCTGTGGACCCTTACCTCGTGCATGCTACGTGGTGCTGCTAAGCTGCGACTTCGAGCCAGGACTGCGCATTTTGCACGCTACTTTGTATGGAATGTTGTGAAAGTAGCCCGCGAGTTTGGTCCGCGAAGGTTGCGAAAGTTCATGGGGAACAAGGAACTTCAGACCGCCATGTACGAGCTATGTGGCTACCCATGTGTGTTGGGGGTATGGGGTTTGGGACGAAAGCAAAAGGCCCTTCTCGAGGCCCAAAACCCGGGTAAGTGAAGGGTGGTACTTAGGAACAGTCCCGGCCGCTTTTGTTGTGTTAGGTTTACCTGCTTCTTGGTAGACCGTTTTGATACCAGGCTTTGATGACTCAAATTTGGATTGGGCTTGCTTTTGAGTATTTTTGAACATGCCCTTTGGGTACTTCTATTTGTCAAAGGGAAATCCGAAGTGAAACCGACGCCCAGTCTGGTTCCCTTTACCATCTTGTGAAGCCAAAGGAACTAAGCCACCTGCAGGAACTGGTCCCCATATGTTGAGAAAAAACACATGGGCCTCACCAGAATCCATGAGACTCCCAGACTCCCAAACGTCAGAGACTCTCACTTTGTTCCAAGGTTGAAACCAACGTAAGAGCCGCACCAGCTTTACCAGCGATTCAAGGCGGGGAGAGCAGAAAAACATATGACCGCTTCCAAAGCCCCACTTGAAGTTCCGTTGACTGGCTCACAGCAGATTCTCGGCATTGCCGGTTCAATCACTGCAGTGTCTCACCGGCAGGCAGAGACGACTTTAAGAGAAACATAGGCCCCCCTAATGCCCCCAGATAGTCCTTAGAGCCCTTCCAAGAAGCTCGTAATAACCTTCCTGGTTGGGTCAGGGGGCATTGGAAGGAGCCAAAGAAGAGCGTCAAACAGACCTGTGGCGGCTTTGAGTTCGTGCAGACAGGGTAGCCCTAAACTCTTGGTAGTCAAGGCAAAGTTGGGTTCCGTTTTACCCCCTTAAAGACTGAAAGGTGTCAAAGCCTCAGGGCACACCTTGACAGATTGCAGCCAGGATGGCGATTTGGCATTGACAAGCTTGTCGCCGCAGGCGCATCCTTCGCGTTTGACCATTGACGCGGGCCCAACTAGATTTCCCTTTTGGGGGTGGGTTAAAGCATCGCCCTTCGGCCTTTGTGCCAAGCAAATCCCAGCAGCTCACCCCAAGACAATTATTGGACACCCTATGTTTGTTGGGCCCCTAAAGGTAACATTCCTATGCATTTCCCTGGCTTGTGTTTCTTTCAGCAGGCTGTTATGTTTCTCTCTTGGTATTTTGTCCGGGGTGTTGTCAAACCCTACGACATCCTGGGATCACAACCACGAAGTTGCCCGTCCATGTGGTGTTATTTCCTGATAAGTCTTTGTTTCAGAGTAGTTTAGGTCGTGTCCCCACGCAGTCCCAACAAGTACAAAATGCCATAAAATGCCCAAGCCCACTTTTGAATGAACGGGGATGACCTTGGAATAGATTGATGGCTTCATTTCCTTTAGGAACTGCAGACTGCAGATGAGCCACAACTGCAATGAACATCTGGGTGCAATACATTTGCAATAATTGGACTTCTTATATGGTTTTGGCTAGGCTCCTTGAATTTTGACAGTGATACAATTTTCAACAATCATGGAAAGTGGCAGATGGGTTTTGGAAGACTATAGTCCTCTTGAAAAACCGTCCGCTTCCACGATTGTTGGAAACAGGGAAATGTCTAGATGGCACAATCCCCCCCCACCCCGCCATTTTGGTTTCATCATATCCCTTACACACAGAAAGGGGATTGTTCCATCTACTTTCACCCTTGTGTATATGGGTGTGGCTCAAAATTAAAGAGCTAGGGTTACGCAGGTTTTAGTCTTTGGTTCCATTTGCCAGGGTTCCCCCAATTTTTGACCCACAGCCATATTCCACTCGGTTTCTTATGCCAGGAGCTGACGAACCTCGCGTGACGCTCCGCTCGGCCCCGAGACACCGACCGGCCACGCGCTTTGGCGCTGGCGGAGCCGCTGGCAGAGCCTTCACCGCAGCAGGCGGCGAACGTCGCGCGGGGGCTTGCGACGCTGCAACGGCCACTGCCTCCCTTCCAGTTGAAGGCCGGTTGAAATGCGCATTGGTTGCTCCGAACCTCACAACAAAGGTGGGTAGACAATTGGTGTTGCGTTGTTTTTTTTTGTCAGGTTCCAATTGTCTACCCTAGTTCCAGGGATTTCGGAGCATTTTTGGCCAGACGTTTGCCCCAGTGCTGTGGACAAATGGACAAACATGTTTGTTTGCCAGCAAACATGTTTTTTTGCCAGGTCAGTGGGCTGAATGTCTTTGTATATTTGGGAAACTGCTCGGCGAATTGCGACGTAAGCCAGGAGGTTAGTTGGGGGGGAAGTCCAGCAAAGGCCCAAAAGAAATCATGATTTACAATGGGTTTTCGGTGACACCTACAGTAGATGGACAAACTATTCAAACCCTTCCACAACGTCGCACTTCACCCCCCCCCCCCGGCACCCCAAAGTTCAACGTTGCGCGGGGTTCCCTAAGTCAGTCCAGCGGGGTTTGATTTGTTTCGTCCACTCGGTTGGATCCGTCCCAAACGCCAAATATCATTGAGAATTGGGGTCGCAGGGGTTGCAGATAAGTCAAGGGTTTGAATATGTTGTCCATCTACGGTAGTTTTGATTAGTCTGACTCAAGTATATTTCCTTTTGGTGGAGTAACGTTGTAAAAGGGGCATTATGCGGAAGCGTGTGGAATGGAGTAAGGAAACGTGCTGGCCAGAGATGGCTTTGATTTACAAACCCTCCAACATGCTTAGTGGTGGACATAGATCCAAACATCCAAATGTTGTCCGCCAAAGGGTCCCCAATCGAAATCCTTTCCCAGCTCAGAAACAGGATGCAAAGCATCAGGTCCATCACAAAGCAAAGAGGCACCATCCCATGTGTGTTTGGCAGCATCTCCCATCACTAAAATTTAAACCGACAAAGAATTTCTTCCTAGAGTGTCTTTCGCCTTTCACTCGAAGAAAAGGAAGGCTCAATGCGTGACCCCTTTCAATCGAACCCCTGCTATGAACCGCTGGTTCATTGGTTTAAGTTAAGTTTTTCGGTCGAGTCTGGCTGAATTGTTCCTTAACTCCGCAGAGGCCCAAGATGGTTATGGGCTCATGGACGTATACAGGGGCTTTAAACGGACAAACCGTTGTTCTGCCTATTTATTTTGTTAGCTCACCGATTCAGGGAGCTCACCATGATGTAGGTCCCCAAAAGGGATCCTCTGTGTCAGCGTTCGAAATATTGCATTTGCATACATTTCATCCGGCCCCTTATTGGTTTTCATCTATATGTATATGGGGATTTAAAAATTGGCGTACCATTTCCTAAGGTGTCTAATGAACAATTGCACACGTTGTTTATGATCCTGACTGAATGTGGTATAAAAATGCCCCACAACCTCGTTCAAATGATTTAGGCCCTTACATATATATATATATACACACATGTGTGTGTGTGTTTCGGGGAACCCTCAAAACGGTAGATGTCCTTTTGGTTTCCCTTTAAACAAACCAAAAAGGGTACCCTCAAACAAAACCACGCCCATGTCCCTTTCACCGTCGCCCCAGGCCTTGGGCGCCATGCCGCCACGGAGCCTGGGCAACATGGCGCGGGCGTCGACGAAGACGCGGTGCCGTGGCCGGGCGTGGATGACGGCTTCGGTGGCCAGAAGTCAGGAGGCCTGGACAGAACTCAAGTGGAGTTGGCGGTCCCTTCACTGACCCCCCAACTGCTAAATTGGGTATGTAGTTTGGGGGTCAGAGGGACCCCCTGAGTGGAGTTGGTCGATGGGCGCTTGGGCATGATCAGTGGTTGGTCAACACATAAACCAGGGGTTCAGGGGTATATATATATATATATATATAATATGACCACATATATATATATATATATTCTGTACATATGTATGACCATATCTCTCTCTATATATATATATATATAGGCGCCTCAGGATGTAAATGCCAATAATCCCATACTTTACAACCCATATAGCTGGCACACAGCCAGCAAGGGAGTATGGCTTTCCATTGCATTGGGGCCCCAACCATAGGGGAACACCTTGGTATGTGTCTGACCTCTGACCTGTTTTTTTTGGTCAAACTTGACCATAGGACGCATATGTTTAACTTGATTTGGGCATGAGGGTTTTTTGGTGGTGCCTGTGTTCGGGTGGTTTTAACAGAGCAGCACCAGGAAACCACCTTTCTAGAGGTTCCATGAGGCAAAACCATCTGATGGCCTTCGAAACGGAACCGGTTCCCTGCAGGTTTGCAGCGAGCTCAACCCGCAGGGCGCGGGCAACACGGCACAGGCAGGGTTTTGTTTCGTCCAAGAAGCAGGGGTGTAACCCAAGTAATCAAAGGTCCCTCCCTCCTTTTTCAGTTGCTGTTTCAAGCGCCCCTTGAATCTGTGGGGCGGAATCCAAAAATCCCCAATCCGGCACAGGCCCTTGGCAAGTCGAGAACTACAGACAAGCCAGCGTTTGCGGCTTCCTCCACACATTTGGTCCGAAGCAGTGGCTCGCTTGCAAAGCAAGTGAACCTGATTGTCGTGCTTGTGGTTAGTGGTTTTTAACCAGTTACGTAGTTCCCATATGTTGTTTGTCCCAAAAGGTGATCGCCTTGTATTTGGTGCCCCCAAGCATGTGGGTTCCTGTTTTTGCGGACCCGCTGAAGGCAAACCCCATTTTTCGTGGTCCCTAGGATCCAACCCGCCAAACACTTCCGGTTTCCTCCAAAGGCCTTGAGGCCTTAGGGTCTTAAGAGGGACGGGGGGGTTAGGGCCTTGGGGGGTGGCTATGGATTTGATTTTCAAGGTGCAAAAAGCCTCACAGGTGATGAATTTCGGGTCCAGGAGATGGTCAACAGCTTATGGGCCTTTGCAACTGCCGTTGCCTTGGGCTTCCGCCTGCTAGACGCCATTTGCCATCAGTGCCACAAGCGGAAAGCCTCAGAATTTGTGGCACAGGACTGGGCAGAGGCTCCTTTTCGGGTTTGTGTTTTTACAATTCTCTACCAAAGTGGCAGGTATCTCAATCTTTGAGTTTGATCTGCCACAATCAACATGCTCTCTCTATTGGACATCAACATTGAACCTGAAAAGAGGGAATATCAAGCCCTAAAAGCACCTGGTTTTGGCCGGCTCCATTCTAATCGGTTATGGAAAACTGGGATTTGGGCAAATTTCTGTGGGGAATTTTCCGTGAAAGTGACAAAGTAGTCACAGGGATGGGATTCCTTGTTTATCACCGAAAGGGCTATTCCCCACATGTCTTAATCTGGGTGAATTGACAGGACTTCTCCAACCTTGTGCAGTGACTCGGCACCTTGCGGGAGCTTGAGCTGCCCCTCTCCGATGTCGGCCAGTGGCCAGGGTTGGGACATGAAAAATATGTTTACAGACGTTTAGAAGCCGCCAAGCTGTAGAAGCAACCTGTTGGATCTTTTGTTTTAGGGTTGAAACTGCCTTGTTGTGGATGTGTGGTTTATGGAGCCAGGGTCCGTTTTTTCTTGTGGGTCGGGTCTGGTTTTTTCCACCATATTTTCGCTCCACCCTGGACCGAATCGGGTCTGAATCTTTCTTGAAACATATTCACCATGGTTTCCAAGAAGTATTTGTTTAGTGTCCTTTGAGCAGGGCCCCTAGTTTCGGTTTGACGGCATGGCCCCTGTAGGCCCCCTTCCGCTGGCGGAGTTCACGCCGCAGCACCTCAGCAACGCGGCCTGAGCCTTCGGCACTTTGCGCGCCAGAAGCGAGGCGCCGCTTTTCGCGGCAGCGCGCCTTGCGCGGGGGAAGCTGGAGGAATTCCGCCCGGACGCTCGGCGTTCGGAGTTTTTGGAGAGAACTTAAACCTGATGTGATGGGTGTTCGTTTCCTGGTGAACATAGATGGGTATGGCTCAAAATGAAAGAGCTAGGGTTACGCAGGTTTTAGTCTTTGGTTCCATTTACCAGGGTTCCATTTTGGGTACCTATTTTTGACCCACAGCCAGATGTTTCTTCGGCCGGAGTCTCACTTGCAGCGAAACTTGCTGGAGTGGCCGATTGCCAACTTGTTTGTTTCCAGAGTTTAGGTCTGACGGTCTGGCGGGCAAGTGAGAATCTGTTGATTCAGTTGCTATGAACCCCGCGAGGGAGACATTCAATCGTGATGATGCTTAGGCTGTAATTCATTGCCAGGCTTCACTGACTTGTTTGCCCTTTTGCCCTTTTGCCCTTTTGTTCTTTATTCCCTTTTCAAGCAGCACAAAGTTATACCTTTCACAGGGGGTCGGATCCGTTTTGCCCAGTTGGTTTGAAAACCCGTTGAAAATCGGGAAGCCTTCAGAAGTGATCAAGCAGAAAAAAGAGAAAGAAGGAACAAACGGTGAGATTCTGGCGACCAGTGAGGATAGTCTAGCGACCTTGGCTTGGTCGTTGGCTCGCAGCGCCGCCTCGGGCAGCTTCTTGTGCGACGCCACCAGTCGAGCCATACGCCTCCTGCACTCGGAGACTTGGCGCTGATTAAAAGCTGGTCATGCTGGGCTGGACTTTTGAGTGTACCCGTTTTGAGACAAACCGATGCATACCAAGTTCGATGTTTTTTGTTGGTTTTTCGAGGCACCAACATGTCAATGTATTGGCCTCGCGCCCATTCAGCCAAGGACAATTTGCACGCGGATAATGTCGGCGCCAAGGATGCATTGTGTTGCTTTGGCTGGCTGTTGACAAGCAAATGAGCATTCCAGATTTATTCTATCACAAAGCGTGCAAACGAAGGAGTGGGCGGTGTCCAAGCATCAGCCAGTTGATCTTCTTGTTGATCTCCACCTTGATCAGACTAGCAGAGTACTCTCATTGGATATTAATCCGCCAGTTTATTTATCCGAGGTCCATTCAATGCAAAGAGAGTGGCCGCTACCGGTATGTCTAGATGGGAGCTTCCTTGACGTTTTTTTTGTGGCACAGTCCTAAGACCCCTCGTATCCCCCAAGTATGTTCAGTCTTTGTGTACTTCGGGCCGACCCGACCAGCTAGGGGGTAATTTGGCTAAATTACGATGATGTTCTCTTCTTTTTGATTTTAAAAGGACATGTCATTGGTAGATGTGCTTCATTCCTAGTAGGGATTTGGGGGTAGGGCCCTTCAGAATTCCAATAGTTAGCCCCCCCAATGTATCATTTGGTCAATATTGAAGGGAGATCAGCCCATACTTAGGGCCTGGATAGGCCCTGTTCAGAAGTTCTTCAAAAGGAATCCAAGGAACACATCAATTTGAAGAGTACCGCAGGTTTTCGTCTACTTTTGCATTCACCAGGGTTACATTTCGGGCCCCTATGTTTGAGCCACACACATATAAGTTTCTCTAGACTTGAACCACAATCAAAAGCGGTTCGGGTAAATGAAGCTTAGAAGGTGACAGTCCCCACCATAAATGGGCGCAGCCGCCCGTTTATTCTTTACGATGGGTTTGGGGTACACCTCTTTAGGTCCCCAATTTGTTCATTATGACTCATGACTCACTTGGGTTCAGGAGGTTCATGTGTGCAAACACATGTCAGGCCTTTGCTGTTGTTCTTGGCGGGCGGCGCACTTCGCGAACCTGTGAAAATGACGGCTTTCGTTCAGTGATCCCCTGCAGCAGTGCAAACATGTTTGCCTGTTAGCCATTTGATAAGCACACCCGCCACAGTGATCCCCCGCAGCAGTGCAAACATGTTAGCCAAATGATAAGCACACCCGCCAAGGTGATCCCCTGCAGCAGTGCAAACATGTTAGGCAAATGATAAGCACACCGGCCCAGTGATCCCCCGCCACAGTGATCCCCCACAGCAGTGCAAACATGTTAGCCAAATGACAAGCGCACCCGCCAGGATTATCCGGCAGCAGTGCAAACATGTTAGGCAAATGATAAGCACACCCGCCACAGTGACCCCCCGCAGCAGTGCAAATATGTTAGCCAAATGAAAGGCGCACCCGCCACAGTGATCCCCCGCAGCCGCAGCAGTGCAAACATGTTAGGCAAATTGATAAGCACACCCGCCACAGTGATCCCCCGCAGCAGTGCAAACATGTTAGCCAAATGATAAGCACACCCGCCACAGTGACCTCCGGCAGCAGTGCAAACATGTTAGCCAAATGTTAATCACACCCGCCAGCTGTGGCTGAAGCCTTGTGGCGAGATTGCGCCTGAAAGGATGCGAGCAACGATGGCAAGCATGTGACGGTTTAAACAAATGACAAATGTCGGGTTTTTCAACTGAGTGGCGGTTTGTATTTCCGCTCAAGCAAACATGTCTAGATGTTGACATGTCAACAAAAAAGGTAGCGCCACACTGCAGCCGCGGAAGGTTTGCGGAAGGTTTGTTTTCCGCGCAAGCTCGCGGAAGGGACGTTGTTGATTTGCGCCTCATAGTTTGATTTCGTTTGGGTGGTTGTCGCCAAGCACGTTTACTAGCAAACCGTGCACACGAATTCCCTCGCGGAAGCTACCTTCCTCAGTTTCCAGAAGCAACTTGCCTGCGGAAGGCCCGCGGAAGCACTTATATAAATGTGTATTGAAACATGCTCGCGGAAGGTACCCTTCACACCGCGGAAGCTTCGCGGAAGGTTTCGCAGAAGAGTTTGATACGTCAATGCAAACTTAAAGGGAATAAAAACCACCACTCAACTTGTTGGGCCACTCACCTTAAACAACCCTCAAAACACGCAGGGCAAAAACCATAGTTCCGTGTCGCTGTCGTTCATTTTCCCAGGGCCGCGAGGAATGCCGCCTACCTTGTTCTTGCATGGGCACCTAGAGGCATAGACACGTTGACATGTTAGTAGGGCCTATGCATACCAACTATCTTTTCTGGTATGTAGAGGGGTCCTAGAGGTACAGACAACTTTGGGTTAACTTCTGATATGTATGCATGCCAACTAGCTAATGCGGCCCAAACCCTGAGGTTCTCTGAAGAATGAGCGTCAACAAACCACTAGCCAAGTCCCCATGTTTATTTAGTTTATTTTGACCTGTTATTTACAGTATGTTCTGCACATGAGACACTAAGAGACCTCATACCACCTCAGTGACTGCGCGCGGACTTACGCCGCGGAAGTCCGCGTCAATCTGCATGAACGAAAGAGGCCGGGATCAGTTGCAATGGGCAACACGCATCAACACCCTACTGGGGCACGAGGATCAACAGACAGAGGTCTCACACCAACAGCAGCGCCCAACACCTGCAGATCTTCCCTGTGTCCGCAGCAAAACCAGACATCATCAGTCTTCTATACTTTCCAGAGCGGCTGATTGAACGCCTGACTGGACGAAACCACTCCCATGCATTTCTGGCGGTGCATGTTCAACGCAGCCAGCACACTTGTGCAATTCCGGAGTTTGGTGCACGCAGTAGGCTGCTAACAATATTGCGATGCTCAGCTTGTGCTGTAGTTGTGTCGTCCCAATTGCCCCAAGCGGCGCAATGTCTGCTTCCCAATGCCGGCAATGCGCTCGGCAACTTGATCACCTCCTGTCAGCCAGAAAGAGTCTCTCTTTTCAATCGCAATCTTGCCCCTCTTCTTCTGGCTCATCGTTCGCAACAAGGCCAAGGGCTCAGCAGCAAGGCCATGCTCCGGAATCTTGGTCAGTGGTGTGAACCACCCCAAACACCACGACATGCTGCCCCACCCCAAACACGCCATAGCCAGCCCCAAACAAAGGGATTCCGGGCCAGAGAATTCCTGCCAATGAACGCTATCACGTTGCCCCACCCCCCCCCCCCCCACCCCTGTTCCACACACACACACACAGAGCTCGAGCTGTGATTGCTGGAGCCGACATACGCAAGTTCACCTGCACCGCTGATGAAGTCTCTCGGAGAACCCTGGGGTTTGGTTCTCTACTGGGTATGTATGTAGAAGGGGGGGACTAGAGGTAGAGACAACTTCTGGGTTAATTCTGGTCGGCCCTCTGGTAGGACCTACAAGTCAAGACAACTTTTGGTAGGGTGAGGAGTTACCAATTCTGATATCAGGTATGCTCCTGGAGGCCGCTGCCCTCAGCGGCGGAGATGTCTGGCGCCTCCTCGACGCCGTGAAGTTCCGCGCCCCGGACGGCGCGGCCTTCGGCGCGGTTGCCGGGGCGCTGCGGCGCGCGGGCCAAGACGACGCGCTCCTTGGCCGAGGCTCAGGCTGGCCACTTAGCAGCGAGAATGGGAGACAGGAAGAGGTAACCAGGTAGGAGTTCCATGAGGTACGCTTGGAGTTTATTATGTTGGGTCTGATTTAATAGCCCACCCCTTGAACAGTGCCAACAGTCAGTCGGGCCTCTTTAGTGGAAAAAAGGCCGGGAGGGGTCGGTCTAGGTTGGTCTTGGACTTGCCAATGCTTAATTTAGTATTGCCTTTAGTATTGCCAAGTGCCTTGGTTTTGTTTAAGGGATTTACATAAACAATAGTGTTTTGGGCCGTGTCAAAAACAAGCATTCCTACCATCTAAGTAATAGCGGGAAGATAAACCAAAAAGTAAAAGGCTAAGGCTTTGATCTGGTATTTTGGCTTGGTTGCCGTTGTCCGTTCTTGGAAAAAACTCTTTCTATTAAAGCAACTTATCCCTTGAAACGGTTACAGGATTCTGAATTAGGAAAACAACTTAACTTTGTACAAAAGCGAACCCCAAATATAGAAGCGGGTCCGACATTTTAAAGGTAGCTGGGGGGTTCAAATCCTCCCTCTTTGCTCTTCCCTTAGCCCATCCTTGGGCCAAGGGGCCCAATGGCCATGATCAGGCGAAGGGGTGGATTGAGCGCGTGTTCACGCCCAAAACACTACTTAATCTATGACCCGCAGTTGGATCAATGGGGTAAACATCCTTGTATAATGGTTTTGATAGTGGTGATATAGTGGGTCCATCCATTTGGGCCAATTGTAGTGACCTTTGCCCATGCACCCATCTCCATAGGTCCAGCAATCCACCCACCCACCCACCCTCCCATCCACCCATCTACCCATCCATCCACGTGATTTGCCAGAAGCATGTCTAGGCTTGGCTCCAGATTTCGGCACAAGTGGTAAAGTGCCGCCCGGTAAAACGAGCTCGGGCCCCATGACGGCTGTTCCTTTCTTGAGTGCTTGTTGCAGGTTTGTGGGTCAGAGTAAGTTGCCCAGAGCACCAGCTGTCGTGGAACCCGATATAAAGGGGCATCTAGATAACTTGATGTCTCATTCATCAGGGGGCCCTATATTTCTCCTTTTGGTGGCTTGAAACATCACCTTTTGGACCAATCTAAAGTGAGTTTCCTTTTAAGTGGGGTGATGTTTGAGGGGCAGACATAGGAGGCCCTGTTCATCATAGCTACAACATGTTTGAGCAGTTTGTTGGCTCTGACTGGGGTTCATGAAGGTGAAGATTTGGACGGTCTCATTTGTTTCCGTTGTAGTTTTGCTTGGTGGGTGGAATTCCTTTTTACTTTTATTGCCATGCAAAGGTTTATTTTGAGAGCGTATTTGGATGAGTTCAAGAAGTACTCAGAGTGGTTTGCCCTTCATGGGATCTTAGTTTGTGAACCCCTTCTGGGTGGTTTTCCTTTAGGCAGACCTTTGAAAGCACGGACACTCTTGCAGACAAACTGATAAATCTCAAATGGTTCTTGGGTCTCTTAATTTCTTCGACCTCCGCAAGCTGCAGTTTCATTGGAGCCCAGTGACATGCAGCAGACTTCGGAAACTTAGCACCTCTTCCAGGTGCCACTATCCACGTGAGGCCCGTTTGGGAAAGCTTCGCCCAGTGCCATCGCCACAGCAGCCCCGTCATGGCACAGCTCGTGAAAGAGCGTGGCCAAGACCGGGAGAATCAGGACACGACCATAGCCATCAACACCTTATGGGCCTTATGGGTCTGTTTTTTTTTGAGGGTACCCCCTTTTTTGTGCTGTTAAAGGGAAACCAACAAAAAACCGAAGCCATGTTGGGGGTCCCCTAAAAAAAAAACACCCATATATGTGGGGTCAAAAGTATGGCCCCTTGTCAACCCTGCCGCATTCTGCCGCCTTTTAAGCTGGATCCCAAGAAGGGGCCATGGTTTTGAACACATGACATGAAAGCGGATGCATTTTTGTTGGGCCCTTTTCTGTCCTAAGGGGAAATCATTGGGCACCGTTTTATTCCCAAACTTGTCATTTTGATCAAACCCTAGAAACTGTTTTACCAAACTACCAGCAAATGGATTTTGGAATCCCAATCAGCTGGCTGCGATGAAACCCCTGGTTTACAGATGTGAACACCACCATCGTTTAAACCACCTCCGTTTAATCTCCCTTTAAGGGGGATGTTTGAAGCACCTCCTTTGGGCATTGCTTGAAATGTTACCAGGGGTTGGTGGTCAACCCACCCGGCCATGGCCAGGACTTCACCGTTCGGCCTGGACATGCATATGCCAAGGAGCTGCGACGGCTGTGCTTAAGTTGGGTTGTTCAAACTCAATAAGGGACACCAACAGGAAGCCAATATTAAGGGTGACACTAGATGGTAGTGGTTCCCTTGTAGTGGTGTACGGATGAAGGACTTGGATCAGGGATGCCAGCTCCCAATTTGAACAATCCATTTAAATTGGTGCCTATGCAAGTCGACTCCTGCCAGCGCTGTTGGTTTTGGGTGACGTTCTTTGACACCCTTCGGGACTCCCCTTGAATGTGGTAAAGTAGTAAATGGAATCCAACTTAGGCATCATAAAATCGGCGGTTTTTCCACCACCATGTTGGGGTTGGCTTCAAATTTCGGCACAAGTTACGTTGAGCTCACCTGGCACTAAAACGAGCTCGGCTCCCATGCTGAAAGCTCCTTTGTTAGGAGTTCCTTATTTCAGTTTCGTGGATGGTAAGTTGCCGAGAGCTTCGGTTTAAACGCGTTGCCCATAGAGCCAGATAGGGACATATCTAGATGAATTGAGTTTTAACTCATCCGGCTCTTTTGTCCATGTTGCAGGTAAGCCTGGGTCTTGACCGAGTTGCCAATCGGCTTTCTCAAAGCTCGGGCTTTCTCAAGCCCAAGGAGTATCCCCAAAGCCAAAGCCACCGCCCCAAACCCAGCTGTCGCTGGGGAGAGCTTTTCTACTACGAACTTCAAGACAACCCGTTAGGGTAGAAAGTTGGTTTTGCGTGCTTTTGCTGGGCCAGATTTCTTACGGTCGAATCTTGAAACGAACTAAATATACCTGCGGCTGTCAGATCTAGAGATCTTTTGCATAGAGAATCCTGTGTATTCCAAATCGAGCGCATTCTTGCAAAAAAGCAAGCTACCTCAAGCCTCATGGTTGGCTGCATTGTGTCATCCTGGTGCCAAATGCATTCTAGAATATTTCTTCTATGTGGGCCGACCGCCCGTTTGGAGTTTGCGGCCAGGAGCTGCAGCTACTTCGGCAGGTGCTCACTTCGACACCAAAGGATTCCGCCTCCGCCTGCCGCGTGATGGAAGCCTTCGGGCGGGAGGCGTCGCTCAGCGGATTGGGCCCGGGCTTTTGGAGAGGCCCGGAGGCTGCCGTTTTGGTGCTTGTTTGACACGAATCCGTAAATTTCTTTGTATCTATTTGCTTGTAATATCCAGTATGCATATATATATATATGGCTGCGAGTCAACTTATAAGGTCCGGAACAGAACAGGGTCCAGAACCCGCATTCGTTCCAGACCGTTATTCCAGACCTTCGTTCCAGACCTTGCCTAGAAACATGTTCCACACCTTTCGTTCCAGACCTTGTTTATGTGAGCAATTGCCAGGTTAGAGTACTGATTCAGGTTATCGCTTCCTTGGGTGTTTCCCCTGGTGCTTGAAGGAGCAGGTGGAATGCTTGTGTTTCTGTGTTTTGCCAGCTGTGTTTGCAAGCGTGCCTGCAGCAATGGCTCCAGAGCGCACGCTGCAAAGACGAGGGGCAATGGAGTCGCGAAAGATCTGCGAACGAGAAGCGTTTTCTCGCGAAGCTTGGGTTTTCCAGAAGCAGGAATTGAACAACTGCAATTTCTTGCGCCAAACACGCTGCTTTGTGTCGGGGGGTTGTTGTTTGCAGGAGGGCTTTGAAAGTGCGATCTTCAAAGTGGGACAGTGGAAACACCGATCTATGTTAAAAGCAAGGCCAGGTGGCGAGTAACCACTCTTCAGGTTTGCGCCATTGGCGAGCTTCAGCTTCAAGTTTGTCGCGGGCCCTTCAAAAAGGGAACAAAGCGGGCAAACCATTGGCCATCCAGGTTCTTCGGTTAACGAACTCCTTTACATGCTGTTTGCTAGGGTGCGTCACAGCATTCCAAACACGCAAGCCAGTCGCATAAATGTTCCAGACCCCGTTCCAGACTTGTTCCAGACACAGCGGCACCCAGTCCACACACATGCCTCATGTAAGTGGCTGCGCTTCATTGTATTTCGAGGATACCACGCCGTGTTGCCCTTACGCCGGCCAGCCTTGGGCAATCCTTGTTCTCGGCTGGCGCGGGCGCAGGCCCATCAGCGTCCCAACCGCTTCAGGAAAGGGGCTCAGGCATGTGGAATTCCAGCCGGGGTCATCCTAATGAGGCGAAGGTGGCAACGATGGTGGCAGGGGCCGTGTCGTGCGCGCCATTCGTCCATCCATCCACCCACCCACCCCTCCATCCATCCATCCATCCATCCATCCATCCATCCATCCATCCATCCATCCATCCATCCATCTTGCGTTAAATGAACATTGAGAACCCCACACATGTCTTCACATATTTCCGAAACAACAGACCTTACGTAATTGACTCGTTCCAGACATCCGCGTCACCGCGGGAGGTTCCACACCAGATGTTTGACCCACACACACACATAATATATATATATATATACGTGTGTGTTTTATAGTTATATATATATATACAAGAATTTCTGTTTGAGGTGTTGCCCCGCCCTGATGAATACTGTACGCCCCCACTCATGATTAGGGAGAACCCCTTTGGAGTGGGGATCCCTTCATTTGAGGGAGGACTCCTTGTTGATAATTGGGTGAGTTTATTATTCAGGGGTCAACGTTACCCAGGGGTTCCGTTTGTTGATCTCATTCGACCTCCATTTTTTGTTGGGTTTTTGGGCCCAACAAACAGGTGGGTGGGGGGTCGAAACCACAGGGCCTCCATGTTCCATTTCATCCCTCGGGGACGGTTTTAAGCGAAACCACAGGGCCTCCATGTTCCATTTCATCCCTCGGGGACGGTTTTAAGCATCACCTCGGCGAACATGTTCGGTGCGTTTCAGGTGATTGCTGATGAGTTTCTCGGGCGGACATCGAGTGATTCCTGCCAAAGTCGATCAAGATGAGAACCAATTAATTAGGGAGCTCTGGCTTGAACGCAGAGAAAGCTCAAATCCTGGCCGTCCCCCCCGCGCTCCATGAATGCTTCTCTTGAACACGGGTCAAAACTCTGGGAAAGGTGGGCGGTTTCTGACATACCTTAGAATGATCACATCTGGTTTCTTGCAGAGGGATGGTCGTCAAAGTAGATAGCCGCTGAATTCCGAACCATGACCACGATCAGGAGTTCAGACCGCGCAGTCCTGTGTTTTGTTCTTGGAGAAATTATGACGAGCTCACCGACTCAGGCGTAGAAGAAACTCACTCGTGATGAAGGTCTTCTGGGGGGTGGGGGTTCGCTCACTTCCGGTTTGGGAATGAGAATAAAGATTTCGCAGTCGTAGAGTCGTAGTTTGGTCGTTCGCTTTGAGGTTGCCATCCTCCAGCAAATGGCTGAAGATTGCTGGAGGGCAGAAGTCTGCGCTGCTGGCAGAAGCTGTGGCCAGAAGTCCTGAAGGCTTGACAGAAACCGACTTGATGAAAGGGCAAGCTGACCAACGCTTCTTAAGGTGTGGTTTTAATTGGGGCATCCATTTCAGCCACAGATTTCACCCCTAGGCCTATACAAGAGGCGTTTGTAATTGTAAACGCTTCGCGTTGCCCGCCTCGGCCCAGCCCAGCATGCAGCGTCTGTGGCTCGAAAGCAAGCAACAGAGCTGGTCCAGTGGCGATTCATAGGTGTGAGTCATGGAGCCAAGTGGACGCAGTGGCACTGCGTGCAAGAAGCGTCGCTGGGCAATCATGCCTGTCCAAGCCAGCCCTTGCCGGTGACATAGCCGCCCTGGATTGGAAAGGACGGCCGGAGTGAGCTTGGGCTGGATTGAACTGGACCTGGAACTGGGCTGGGCTGGGCTCCTGGATTAGCCTCTGACGCTTGCGGCTGTGACTGGCTGCCCCAGTTGTTTCAAGATGGACAGGGCAGCCGGAGACTGGACTGGGCTAACCTTGCTGGTGACTTGCCTCAACCAGACTGGACTGGACTGAGTTGGGCTGGCTGGGACGGGCTGGACCAGACTGAGACCGGGCTGGACTGGCCAGTAGAAGATATGTTTTGTTAGACCAAAACACGTTTTTTGGTTGCGATTTCATACATTTGTGCTATGTGGCTGGATGTTTGGGTTGGTTGAAAGTGAGAGGAAAGCCACATTTAATTTCGGGATCCCCAAACTTCAACACCAACCCATTTATACCTTCATTTCCACTTTAAACATCGCCCTGGAAACTCGCAAGGGCCTTCCCAAGAGGCGATGTTGAACTCCGAGGGAATCGGCAACCCTCAGACCGTGGGGACCCGTTAGTTTTTTTCGACCGACCCGTTTTTGGGAAAGCAAAAAGGGTTGCGAAAACGTGCTCGGACCTGGAACGCAGCCAGAAGAGGTTTAGGGGTTCCCCCCTGGTGGGTCCCCATGGTTGGTCTGCGCAGGACTGGCCTTAGAGCTGGGCACATACTGCGGTTTTTCTGCGCTGCACCTGGCGCAAGCCAAACGTGTGGTGCCTGTGGCCGAAGGGCAGATTCATTTTTGGGTTTTAAGAGTGGGTGATGTTGCGTTTTTGTGTGTGTGTGTGTGTTTAGAAACAATATGTTTTTTGTTTTTTTGTTTTATGAGTTGGTGTGTATTGTTCCTAGTTGGTATGTTGTTTCCAAGGGAAACCTAAAGGAAGCAATCCATGTGAAAACGGGACCCGGTCCCGAAGGACCCACAGTCCAGTCTGGGCCTGGGGCCAGGCGGAGGGTGTTCCTCGAAATGCAAACGTCGGTTCCCATGAGGCAGTGGCCAATTTGGGGTTCGGGACACGAGGCAGGCAGGGAAGGAAAGTATGTGACGTTTTTTATTGTTTTTTTTTTAAATATGAATGTGAGGTTGTACCAGAGGAAAGGTAAGGACAGGGGTTGCACTGCTCAAGAATCAACCATGGGTTCATAAATTCTGGGATTACATCAAGGTTCGCAGCAATATGGTTTCGGGACATGGGGGGCTTACCAAATTGTTAAGCACAAAGACACAGGGTGGCTTAAAGGTTGGTAATCAAAGGTGCATCTGAGTGGAACTTGGCGGATGAAGAGAATGACTCCCTCCTAAAGGGGTTGCACACCCCTGTGAATCAACCGTGTACCGTGTTCATGTGAGCTGTAAATATGTGTTCCATTGTTGGGCATGGGAAGTTAGGGTTTGCCCCCCTGTGTTTGAAAGTGAGTGAGTCCCCCATGTCCCAAACTGCGATTTTATGCACAGACTACTTGACATGTTAGGCATAGACTGCTCATGTGCAGGGCCAACCCGAAACCCTCTTGGTCAACGCTCCTACTCCCTGGTTGATTAGGGTAGTGAGGGCCTGTATAAACCTTGCGTCGCAGGATTCGCAGGATGGAACTGAAAGTCAATGCGTTGGGAGCGCTCACGTTGTGTCCATGGACTGTAAAGCAAAGGCTAAAGGCTGTGTTAAGTGCATGGTGTGGGAACAGCTTGCCTCAGGGGGCGCACTATTTGAATTGTGCACCAATGACAGCAGACAATCTCTGATACACTCGGGTCCTTGCTTTTGCATCTCCTGAGATGTCATTGCAGACTGAGGCCTGAGCCAGGGATTCCCGTTCTGGACAGGATGTGTGAGGATGGGATTTGTCCAGTTTTGTTTGTGCCCAAGGATGCCGTTTGCCAGCCAAGCTTGTTGATTTGTCTGCCCCCCTCCCCCCGGCAGGCATGAGCATGTCATTCCGTGGCAAAGGGAGTTTGTCCAGGCATGTGTCGCAATGTGGGATGTGATGACTCATGTTCAAGCGATTTCGCATGAGATGTGTCTTTGAAGCAAGCGCTATATCTTGTGAGTCCATGCGCTTCTACCCGGCCTGTTGATGGCTGATTTGAGCGTGTCTAAGGTGACTCTCGAAGCAGATTTGGGCCACGCGATCATTGCCGAGACCCTGCTGACATTTGCAGGCATGGCTGACAAGGCCCACTTGGCGACACTTAACAGTTGACTCGCTCCATTCACGAAATGCAGACGCAGCTGGCACCGAACTCGGCCGTCCGCCCATGATGTTTTGAGAAAGAACCCGTTTGGGTTTTTTAATGGGAAACCGGGGGGAAACGGCCTTTTTTTGGGGGGGGGGGGACAAAACCTGTTTTCCTCGTGGAAATCCACCTACGAGCCAGGTACAGGTGATCGTCGGCCACAGCGAGGACATGTTGCCCTGGCTTCTGCAGCGATTAGGCAACGAGGGTTGGGCCAACCTGAAACATGTTCAAACGAATTGATTAGGGATCCCACTTTGAATCACCCACGCAAAAAACAGCAATGGGTCAGACATCGACAGATTTGTCCCTTTCTATTCGGGTCTATTGGGCCACTTGTTTAGCTTCTCTTTAACGGGGGCCAGATCCCAACCCTCTCAACCCTCAACAGTTCCACCAGGCCCCGGGGAATATCTGGGGATCCCCGGCACGGCACCTCCGGCCTTGGGGCCTTCGGGCCTTGGGATCTGTCAGGGCCCATCAGCTTTGTGTTCATGGACCAGCGCGGGTCCAGGTACTTAGCTGAAGCCTGGCGAGCAAAATGGTGCTAAGTGGCCGATTCGAGCCTTTGCAAGTTCTTGGATGTTGAACCTTGGTAAGTTGATCATAGTGTAAGTGGGGTAACAGGTGCTTGCTTCTCTTTAACTTACAACCATGTTTAGAAGATGTTAGAAGCTAGTTACTAAGCAGGTCGAACATCCAAGTAACACATGACCAGCCTCTTATCGAACATTGTCGAACGGCGTTCTTTTTTTTGTTTCCTTCCGTTTGTCTCGCTCGTGACTCGAGTCTCAAATGGGAGCAACCCGTATCGAGTCTGGAGTTGAACTCGTGACGACCCCAAGGACTTGGAGATTTTGAAGCAATCTGGGCAATCTGCCGTGGTGGTGGCAGACAATGCCCTTTGGCGCAGGCATACTGTGAAGGCAAGGTTTGCCTTCAGACCCCCTTTGGGAAAAAGGGAGCTGGTGTGGAGACCAAGCAATGGAGGGGGTCCCGTTATTTTCAGGGGGTTAAAAGACAATGCCTGTGCTTACATCGGGTTTATGCAGGTTAGAGTCTTAGAGCTCAACATCAAGAACCTTTTCACTTTGCCCTGGTCTTACGGACATCTGCTCTTCAAGTTTGTTGAATAAAACCCAATGCCATATGCAAGTGACATGTGTCCGGAGTGATGTGCAGTTCTCGGCATCTGTGCAGATTCTTGCCGTTCACTCCGTTTTGTTAGCTTTTAAAAAAATTCATGGTGCTTGCAAACTTGAACCAGTGCCACGGCACTTTGGCTCCAGACATCCAGCTGCCTCGTTCCTTTCAGTCAGTGAGGTCCTGAAGCCTGGAGCCCCAAAGTTCCTTTGGGCTCTCACCAATGACGACGCCTTCGAAACAGAGGTGGTGGAGTTGGAGGAGTGGCTCGGTAGAAAGACGCCAGCCGTGCGGAAGACTATTGGTGCCCAGTGACGGGAATTGAGCCTCTCAACCCTCTCAACACGCCACAGCGTCGGTTTAGCAACCAACGCAAAGGAACAACCTGACAACTGTCCCGTGGATCCACTTGCTATAGCGGTGATCTTGGCAAAGCTCACGGTGCCAGGTTTGCGATGGATGGCGTGCTCGATTGGATGACGGTGAGTGTGTTCCGAAGCCGCTTGACTGACGTGTTCTAGAAGCTGTCGGTGGAGGTTTTCTGTTTTGCTGGAACCTCGTACCCCTTTCTGGCTATATACCAACTTGTATGGCTTTATGAGTTCTATTTTGGAGGCTTTCTGTGGTCTGGGGATGACGCCAGTCCTTGAATACAAGACTGTTTCCACCCGTTCAACCACTACCCCAGAGAAATGGGGGAGGTATACAAATACAACCCCCGATATCAGCGCTAGATGGGTATATCTCCAATTTTCCCTTGGGTCCCGGCAATTGTTTAAACCATGACAGATTTATCGACTCCCATTTCGGCCCCCTTCGGTAATTTCCAATAATCAACCCATAAGTTGTTAATTAACCCATAAAAATAGAGGTTCATACCACCGAATTCCATTTGGAAGGCCCTCCACTGGTATCCTCGTTGTCTTGACCAGGTCGCGTTCCGTGCCGGGACCGGTCACCTCCGGTGCCGGAGAGCATTCGGTTCCTGGAGCACCAAGCAGAGGCCATGCGCAGCAGGACACATTTCCCGGAGCATGGCGGCAGCGGTGTATCTCAGCCGGAGGAACATTGGTATGTTGTTTGGAGCGCTAGGTATCTAATTATCTATGATTTAGATGGTTTTTTGGACACCAAGAGGAGCAGCCACACGCGTGGGCTCTGACTGAAAATAGCGGCATCACTTCCGCTTCAGCATCAGCAGCAAATGTTGGGCCTTATTTGCGCAGATGCAGGGTTCTATTGTTCGAAGACATTAAAACCAGGGATTGTCCTTTGGCCCTGGCCGGGGACATGTTTTGGTCGGCTCGAGAGATTAGTTGGCTTTTGCAGATCCTCAGCATGACCAAACTTTAAGTAGACAAGGGGTTTACCAGTTTGGTTTTCTTTAGTTTTCTTTGGTTTTCTTTGGTTTACCAGGGACAGGTTTTTTCTGCCCCTTTTGGGGCCAGGTCTATGGAGCAAGCCCGAGGGGCTCGCCAGCCGAACCATTTTCGTTGCTGGCCCACAAGCAAACCTAGAGTCCTTCAATGCCAGCTTTGATCATGACGCAGTTTCAGAGGTAAAGCATAGCAAGATGGCTTTTCTCATATGTCCGAAGACGATAAGCTCAGGATAAACCCTTGAGGTGTATTGAGAAGTGAGCAATTCTGGGTCAGATCCGAGCCCGCCCCCCTCGAAGCCCGGGACGGTCGGAGGTTTTCGTTCGAGGTTGGCTTCAAGCAATGGGCCGCCTTCAGTGCAGAGATGCGAGAGTCGCTGTGCCAGGCGCTTTCGCTGAAGCTGAGGCGCTTCGAGGAGAAAAGGTGGCCTTGGAAAGAGAGAGAAGGAGAGACGGGTGGACCACAGGCTTGATGTGTGGGTGTGGTTGATTTCTTTGAAAGGGTGCCAAATTTGGTTGCAACATCTGCACCCGATTACCACCTTGGGAAATGACCATCAGTTCGGAATCAAAGAAGAAATTAAAGATACAGGTGCAGCTCTTGGATGTGTCCACACAAGCTGTTTGATGTTGCTTTTTTATTTCTTGAGAGTGACGTCATTTGCCGGCAGATTTTGGCGAACTGCGAGGCTGAAACGGCAACAAGTTTGCAACGTGTGAATGCCCGATGTTCCCATGAGCCACAGGGGTTCACTCAAGGCCAATTAACCAGAAAGACCATAAGACGATATGGGGGTGTCTTTTTTTAGGGGAACCCACAAAATGGTGGTGTTCCTTTTGGTATCCCTTTAAAACTGACCAAAAAAGGGTACGCTCAAAAAAGGACAGACCCATATCCTGCTTATATATATATATATATATTATATATATATAATATTGTCATGGCTGTGTCGACGTGTCCACCCAACCGCTTCCGAGTTCCTCCTCAAATTTGCAAATGCGGACATATTGCTCTGCGAATTAACCCGGACCTCCAAAAGTGTGCCGACAGGTTTTTCTAATGGCCGCGCACTGGAGGTTTGGGTTAATCTGCGGTGCAACCGGTGCCATATTCTGGGCATGGGCTCCATGGACCCCCCCAATTGCGCCCGCGGCCATTTGGACTGAGGTTACCGTCTTTGGAGTTCTGGCTCCTTTGCTGCTGCGAGGCCTCGGCAAATGTCGAGAAGTCAGTTTGCGGTTATGTGCCATGGTCAAAAGACCGATCTCTTTGCTTGGGGTTGGTAGGGATGGTCGTCAACCGAGAGTTTGTTAGATGACCATGGTGGTAAAGGAACCACCATGGTCCCACTTTTGTGGAGGTTTCACCATGCCATTGAGCTGGTTGAGTTGAACCGAGCAAGTTGCCATTGTGTTTGATTTGATTGTTAATGTTTGAAACACCCCACAGATATGGTCGAGCATAGATCCATGTACGTGTCCGAAGGGTCCCCCCTTCGGGTCCCGGGAGGCCCTGCGCACTCACCACATCCAATGTCATTGGGGGAAGTATTGATGGCGTTTTGGTCGGTATCTCGGTATCTCCGTACCTCCCAACTCAATATGAAACATCTGAAACCAAGCGTGGATCGCCGTCTCAATGAAACCCACGAGTCTCGAGGTGCCGGCCTGGGGGTGGTGGAGTCGGCAGCTCCAGCCCTAGTTGGAAGCTTCGTGTCCGGAGTGTGGCAATTCAAAGGGAGGCCCTGAACTAATTCTTAGGAACTACCCAAAAAAGAGAGGTTGACTAGAAACCCTCTAGAACCCCATGGCAATTGAAAGGACGTCCCGTGCAATGTGAGTTCAGATCAATCCGGATCACGAGAAGAGGGCCCCCCAAATAAATCTATGCAGGTGGGTGCCATCCCTGCACGGTCTTCCGGGCAAATCCGAAGTTGATATTATTTTGGCAACTTGCCTAGACCAATGGACTTGTGCAACTCAGCAGCTTATTAGATTCTTAGATAGAGTCTTTTGGTTTTTTCCCCAACAGCTGAAAGCTAAGGGGTCTCAGCCCAGAAAAGGTTTGGGGGTGGCTCAGGGGAGCTCTGGAGTCAGGTTCGAGCAAGGTTCCGGAGGTTCCGGGGTGGCCAGGTGTAAGGTTCAAGCAAGGTGGTCTGGTGCAGGCCAGGTGTAAGGTTCAAGCAATGGTCTCGGAGGTTCCGGGGTGGTCTGGTGCAGGTTAGGAGTAAGGTTCGAGCAAGGTTCCGGAGGTTCCGGGGTGGCCAGGTGTAAGGTTCAAGCAAGGTGGTCTGGTGCAGGCCAGGTGTAAGGTTCAAGCAATGGTCTCGGAGGTTCCGGGGTGGTCTGG